TATACAGGACTTCGGTTACATCATCCGCCCTCTGAGGATATCCCTAAAAGCTTGTTCTCCTATTAACTGCCAAGATAATGTCAGTCACTAACAGTTTTGTTCTTTCTCTTTTGCTCTTTCCTCCTTACCTCCCTCTCCTCCCCAATGTCTGACTGCTAAATCAAAGAGAAGGATTAAAACAATTCACTATCAATTCAAAGCAAATTTGAGACACAGCTAAGACACAGGAAGTCTGAATTAGTCACGGAAATCCTTTATCTTAGGGTAATTTTAATGACCAGATTTCTATAATTACCCAATATTGAAAATTGCCACTAAGTTGCTATAGTTCATATCCTATAAATGTTTGATGGAAAAAAAAATCAATGCATATGAGGAAGAACTTCTTTACTGTGTGGATGACCACACACTGCAATAGACTGACCAGAGAGGGTGTGGAGTCTCCCTTGCAGAAGATACCAGAAGATTCCAGAAGAACCATCTGGACACAGAGTTTTCCTCACAGGAAGTAAATGCCAAAACTTAAAGGTTGCTTAGAATGAGACTTGCAAGGCAATAATATTTGTGAACAGTGACAGTGGATTGTTTTAACCTACAGAGGTGTCAGCATAAGCAACCCTGATGATTACCAACTAAATTTGGGGCGAAATACACTTTTCCACCTATTTTGTAAGCAACACCATTACATTTATGGTTTTGTCTCTTGTGCCTTGCACGAGCATAAATACATTTCTCCAGGAACATATTAACTAAATGCTGAAGCAAACTGGAACTAAGAAGCACATACATAGATGAGAAAGAATAAGAAATGCAGAGAGGGATGGGAACCATCTTTGCTTATGAGTTTCCTGTCTTATTGTCTGAAGCAGAAAAAACAAAATCCTTTTGGAGAAGTTGTCAATCTTTCTTAATCAGAGTACAATCATTTTGAAGAAACCACATTAGTATTTTGCAGGGCCCATTAGGATGTTTTTTTCAGGGCCAAAGTCATATTTCAAAGACCCTTTGGTTACACTTCCTGCTGAGACATACTACTTCTTTAGCATAAGTACATTTGAGGTAGAATGAGTTATACACGCTTATAATACTGTGTGGATTTAGTCTTCTTAGCCTCACTTGCTCAGCCTGAGTATGCTTTCAGTGGGGATTGTTAACATTCTGTGTTATTTTTCTAGTAGCTGCTATAGTGCTGTGTCTTGGCTTTAGTATGAGAAGAATATAGATAACATGATGGTTTGGTTGTTGCTAAGTAATGTTTATCCTAGGTCTAGAGCTTTTTTAGTTTCCTAGGCTCTGCCAGCAACCAGGTGGACAAAAATCACAAATTGGAAGATAAGGAGACTAGAGCCACCAGGAGAAAATGCAACTTGACAAGTTATGAAGAGTTATTGGCCTGCCCTGCACGGACACTTGAGAAATAACTCAATAAGATGTTAGAAGACCCCCAAAAAAAAAATTACTATTGGACTGAGAGGTGCATTCAAGGCACATGAAGAACATGTGAGGGGCAGGTGCATAAGTCATAAGGGAATAATTTTCCAAGGATTTCTGTGTTCTGGGTCCCTCTCTGGAGGCACCCAGCTTGTGCTGGCCTGCTGCAGGAAACCTACTGTTGAGTCTGAAGAAGGAGGCAGCACACCTGAGACAGTGTGAACAAGGAATCAAAAGAGGCACCCACAGCTCTATGGAGCTGCCTCCCATGAAGGGACTCTGGGCCTTGCAGTTTAAGTCTGAGCTGGCATGTGTATGCAAATCCCTGAAGGGTGTGAGAATGTTTGAGCAGTGGCTTTTCCTTTAATATTTCCTTTCCTACTTTGTACTTTATGTAAAGCATTAAAAAATACTTAGGGGGAAGAAATTCATTCATCCATGATGGACAGATAAAATATCAGGATTTCTTTTTCTTGGCTTTTATCTAAAATAAGGTCACTGTAAAAGAAGCATTAGCATCTTAATAGAAAATTAAACTGTACAATTAACCAACATGCAGCTAAATTAAAAGAGCAACACATGAAATTCTGTGTTACTGATGGAATAAAAAAAATCTATTGGAGGAAAATTTATGCTATGTAAACTAAAACAGATTATTTATCTGACAAATTTTGTGATGATAAATTGGACTTTAGTGAGACTTTAGAAGTGCCAAATTGGCTGCAGTAGCTGAATTCATCCAAGGGGATGAACCTAACCTAGAAGGAGATTGCCAAGGACTACTTGAAATGCTCCTTTCCCTTTTAATGTTCCAGGAAGATGAAGATGCTGAGTATCTTCTAGTAATATATGACAGCCCAACAGCTGGCAGTCTTCAGGAAAACTATGAGTCTTAAGAGTCAAATCAAACATGACTGAGGTCTCAGGTGCTCAAAAAAACCCTAAAAAAACACCAAAAAACCCCAAAAAACCCCAACAACTACAAAAAGCCCCCACCAATTCAGGACCTGGAAGTTCAGAGCTTTGCCTTCCTGCCTAGTTCTTCCTCTTGCTGACAACCTCTCCAGTCACTATATAGGAAGCTATCTACTGTTTACTTACTGAAGGGAACTAGACAGAAGAATGATAAAATTACCTCAGTTCAGATTAAATATCCCACTTCTCTGGTATTGCTGTGATTAATCCACATCACATTCAGTAGTTCAGATGCAATTCAGTTTGGGACTAATGACGTTAGGGTTTTCTAGATAGCTGTGAAACTTCCAAGTTTATAAAGAAAATCATACCAATATATTATTGTTACAAAAGCATTCAAATCAACCCAATTAACAGAACGACCAATGTAAAAGTCACTGTCTGTCATTTCTAATTACACTTTTAGGATGGCTCAGATTTTAGTTTAGCTTTCTCATTACATTTTCTTGCATACCTCATTTATTTTCTTACATGTACTTGATTTTCCTACCCAACAGATCTGCATTCAGAGGAAACTGTTTCTTTACACTCACAGTGAGGTACAAAGGACAGCAGTGTTTCTCCTATATAGCTGCTGCCACTATCATGTAGGCATTCTTACGTGATAACACGCCCCATACAGACACAACAGGAAGATGTAAAAGCAAGCAATAGATAATTTCAGTTCAGCTGTCAGACACCCTCAGAGACCAGTGATGTAGGAAGCACAAAGATGGTTTTTAAAAAACGTATCAAAGGCAAAAAGAAAACCTACAACAGATGAATGTGAGAAATGAAGGTGGAAACATGAGCCAAGTCATCAGTTTATGCACATTGCTGGAATTACCGACTCAACAGATGTTACTTAAAAGCAGACTTTAAGTGAACTGCTGTCCTACCACTTCTTTTTGCTGGATATTATACTTTTGTATCAGGTGGAAGTTTGTGCAGTTTTCCATTTAGCATCACACTTAATCACTCAGCAGGTGGAAAACTCAAGGCAGAACCTTACCAGCCATCTAGGTTTCCCTAGGTGCTGCCAATGACAATGTTCCTAGACATAAATAACAGTTAGCCCTTTGTGCTACAGAGCCCTCTGGGCCAGCAGTCAGCACCCACTGGGCAAGGTTATCTGGAGTAGCTGCTCAGCAATTCCATATGCCGGTCCCTGGAGTGGCCTCTTGGCCTCTGCAGAGATAACATCATTTTAGACATCAGAAGGTCATGAAAGCCCATTTGAAAAATTGCTGCAAGGACGCACACCAACAGGCAGGCAGCTGGCATGTGTAACAGTAAGAGAAAAAAACAGAAAGTACAAAATACCACAGGGCACAAAATTGAGCCCTGTAATGCTATGTTTAAACAAACTGTCATCTTGTATTTTTTGTATGTTATCAATACAAGAATGTATTGGACTTGTAAAACATACTTACATCTCCCTTCCAAGGCTTACAGAAAGTCTCCCATTAGAAAAGAGATGCTGAATACAAACATTGCTAATGTCACAGTTAGGCACTCAGAAAAGATACCTAAATAAGACACAGTACTCAATGCAATACACTGACAATGCAAGCAGTCCAAGGCACTCACAGATACACACAAACACAATACAATCATTTATCCTGTAAACTATTTTCTTGCAGCAGCTGAGGACTTGTGGTCAGAGAAATGTTCATAATTAGCTAACAGTCATGGCAGCAGCAAGGGACGTGAGGAGAAAAGTAGAGCTGCAAACTAAACTACAGCATCAATCCCATATTTAGAAAAAACCTGGGAGCATATTTACCTTCTCCCTGTTCTTGCGTCTCACATTATCCAATTCCCTCTCACACAGATCAGCACAGAAATCTCCATATCAGTATTTTTCACTAAACTCTTATAGCTTAAACCCATCTTGTCTGTGACTCAAGCCACCACACTTCAGTTTCTTGTGGCTCTGACACACAAGCACACGTATAGCCTGTCCTGTCATTGCTGCATTAGAGTGATAATCTTCAGCAAAGGGTGATAGCAAACAGGAGTGGTGCCTATGATGCCTTGGCTGATCAAAGCATCACACTGGCTTATCTGCCAGCATGCTCAAGGGTTCCAAAGCAAGAAAACTTATCTGTCAAAGACCCCCACTGAGCCTGTCTCCTACAAGGAGGGAGTAAGATAACTACATCTGGAGGCTGTAATATGGATTCTTAACAGGATTCACATTTTCCTTCAGTCTGCTGCAATGGCACAGATTATTAGTAACTCTACAAGCCTGCAATTCATTTTGTTATTACAGAATAAGCAAGGAATACAACTTAGAACCAGCAGATCTTGCAGAAGAAACAGTGTGATGTTCATTAAGATTTCACTTTCAATGACAAATATTTCTGTCCTTAATTAGAGAGAACTACCACTAACATCAGAGGGGAGGACTACCATTAGTAGCAAAGGAGTTTGGGAGCAGCAGCAGCACAAGATGGTCCTTCAAAGGGGGAAACAAACAGTAGAATGGCATTTCCCTGGGGGAAAAAAGAAAAAAAAAAACCAACCTGGTAACAGGAAAACCCTCTTTCAAACCCCCTACCAAAAAGAGATGACTCACAAATACCTTCCAGTTGTCTGTGATTTACTCTTACCTCTGTGATGTTTTCTTATATTTTCTCCTGCAGGAAAAGAACAAAACAGAACTGAGATGAGAAGGATTCACAGGCAAGGAGGAAAAAGGAGAGGGTCAGAAATCAGGAGCAATTTAATGAAGTCACTTCTGCCATAAGATTGCCCCAAACTTGATGTAGCCATTCCCTTCTACTAAACCCAGTGGTGGTTGCCACTAAATTCAGGAGAAAAAATTGTGTTTCCTTGTTTGAATGTACTGCCCTTTCTTGTGAGAAAGGGTTGTTGCAACTAGGAAAAAATTATTTATTCTAAATGACTTTGACTTAGCAGGAATTCCAAGTGTCAGAAATTTACTTGTACTTAGTAGTTGTAGCGTTTATGTCTCTCATCCAACAGATAAGTAAGATAAGATCTGTGGAGATCCCATTAACATGGAGTAATGAAAAGTATCCAGCCATACTGGCTGTTGTCATTTAGTGGAAAACCCCAGTGGTTTTTGTAGCAGTCTCTCTAAAAATAAAGTCTAGATCCTTCCAAGTTCTCCAACAAATTTCAGATACCACTCCACAGAGCTTCACTTCACTGCACCTGTCTTGAGACCTTACCTTACAAGACCCTAACCCAGGACTAGGAAGGGTAAGAGCACATAAGCAGGATCTCTTCTCTACCCCAATACTTTACACCACATCAACTACAGCAAAGGCTGTAAACCTCCTACTCTTTTTAGCATGGTGGATTTTGTCTTTGACAGCAGGCAATGACAAAGGCTGCCAATGCACAGAGTAAGGCAACACACAAAAAGGCAATACATGCCTTTCTGTATAGCTGTGTGGCTACACAGTTACCTGCATCAGGGGTGTATCAGCACTGTATGTTGTCTGTGAGCTGCTGTTTCTGCAGCTGTTTGCAAAGGCTTTGCATAGAGGCTGGCAAAATAGGGCATTAATTTACTTGAACTCAGCTCTGCTTTTATGTTCTAAAATAAAATGAACAATGTTTTAATTCACAAGTAGTGACTGAAACAAGTTTCAGTGCAGACTCTGATGAGGTGTGCCCTTTATTTAACAATACACTAGCAGACATTTCCAACATTTTCAATTTGAAGGTAATATTGTTAAAATATGTGTACAGCTATTAGCATCAAGTTTACTTTTTCATTTCTGATACTACTGTACAAGTAAAATTGTAGCTAGTGTGGGCCTAGAAAACCCAAACAAGGAATAAGTTTCCCTACAAATATTTTCTGTTTTACAAGAGCCATGAATAATGTCTCCTGACTGTAAAATGTTTCATCCAACAAATATCTATAAAAATTTTACTTGTGGTTGTACCTACTTCTATATTCTTAACATGTTGGAATCATAAAAATACTAAATAGCTTCTTTAAAAAATATTTCATTTGCAAATTACTGTTTGAAGAATTACTTATTTAAACTTGAAATGATGCAAAGGAGTAAAAGAGCAAATACTCATAGCAGTATCTAGTTTATAGCTTACTGACATTAAAAATATTGATACATAAAAGCAGAAACCCAACTGGACAAATCTTATTCTATGAGAATTTTTAATTTTCCTTTCAGAAGGATGAAAAGTAGAACTTTTGTTTTGAAGAATGTACATTAAGAAGTTTATACTCTGACAAACACAGAACTTCATTATGTTTTCTGGCAAAAAAAGCAAACAACCTGAAAAATACTTCATCTGATTGGCCATTCTAATCGACAGTAATTAAAAGTTTTATTCCAAAGAAATACAAATTTGTTTAAGTGTTAAAATGAAATAATTTTCAATTTAATTCTTTCCCCTGACAGGCTCTTATGGTTCATTCCAACACTGTCAGAACTATTTTTCCCTTCATTGGTTAGTGACTTTCATATAATGTTATAAAATGTTTCTTTTTCAGACATTTGAGCAAAGATAAAATTCATTAACTCCAGTCTTAGGGTGTTCTTTACACTTGATTAGTAACATGACTTTTCTGATCAAGTTACACCTTTAATATTCCTTTCATTCAAGAATATTTTTAATACATTAGAAAGCTGTACTATCACAGATGACAGTACTAGGAATAAAAGAATTTGTTGAAGTCATAGACATTTTTAAAAACTTATACACAGGGTTTTTTTATAGTTATTGTTTCCACACCTGCAGTCCAATCACCATTAAGGTTCATACAGACCAAGTTAGTGACTGCTTTTCCAAGCACTGACTGAATTTGCAATTTGCACTTGAAGAGAATATAACTAGACAAACACTTGTTTATAGGTTCAAAATCACTACTGCATGCACATGCTTTAAAAGGAACACCATTAGCAAATTCTGATATTCAGGAAAAAATTCTGTGTGCTCAAACTTTCAGCATTTCAAAAAACAAGGTCTAACATGCTACTCACCACATTATAAAAAGGTGGTGTTGATAACATGGAACTGTTTGTAAATATAGGATTCAGTTTGTTTTTGAAAACACGGTGTCAACATCTATCTTCTTTATAGTTACAAACCACCACTTACACATGCCTTCCATTAAAGGAGATTGGAAACAAAGGAATTAGAAAATACTTCTTCAATACCACAGCCAGCATCTTGGCTTGAATCAGCAACCATGTGTGCATTACTAAGAGGAAACTGGAGTGGGGTAGATTTAGATTTGGTTGGGTTTGCAATTTTTTGTTTGGTTTTTTGAGGTTCTTTTGTTATGAGGGGTTTTGTTTGGTTGCTTATTAAAAAAAAGTGGGACACGGTATCTTGTGTCTTGATTTATGTCCCCAGAATGAGTCTATGAAGAGAGGAACTATCTACAAAATTGCTTTTGGCAGATGCTCTAGGATAAACTGGGAAACAGGCAAATTTCCAGTCAAGCCCAAGGGACTCCTCATTTTTTGAACAAACCCAGGCTATACCTCTTTCCCAGGAGAGAAAGAATGAGACAGATTTAAAGGAGGTAATGTTACAGCTTCCCACATCTGTGGGCCATCCTGTGCTCATGCCTGAAAAGAGGCTTATTGATATTACCAAATCTGTGTAAGTTCACTTTCTTTTCTCACAACACACATTGTGCTCATACTGCCACATCCATTTAATTCCTGTTACTGGTTGTGGGATGTATTATTAAGAGGTTTATATTTAGCTTACACTAAAAAAATTAAGTAGAGCAAAGTAGGGTTTTTTTCATGCTGAAGAGAATTAGCAGGTGACTCACACAAGGTAGGCTCTATACAAGCAGCATAAACTAAAAATAACTTCACTGGACTTTATGCAGTTACACTTGCATGAGTATAGTATGAAGTGAGTCAGTCCTAGTCCAAGAAGGGTGCTATAGCCTAATGAAAAAAAAAAAAAAAAAAAAAAAAAAGCAGTAAGACACTTAAAAATAGGTATTTTTAATTGAAGTGGTAGGTAAGATGAAATTTTTCAACTCAGAAACCATAAAGTTAACAAGAATGTTGAGTCAACTATTTCAGTATCTCATCTTCTGAGGATGAAACCTTCTTGTAGCCAGAGAAATAAAGACATCACGCTGGCCCAAAATAAAATTAGGACAGATTTTTGAAGTTATTTAATCATCAATAAGATGTAGCTTGCTACAGCTGTCTGGCCACTCAATTCCCATTGAAATAAATAGACATTAAAAATTTCTCTTTCTGCTTTGATGCTCATGAACTTCTTCCAAGTTGTCTGTTCTCAGGGTTATGCTTCTAATTTTGCCATTTAATTCCAATGCACCCTCAACCAAATTGCTTTTCCCTGTATTTCCCCTTCAGACACTTTTCTATTAATTTGTTAGCTCTTAATGGTCATGGTTTTAGCTATACAGGGTTTTGCACAACAATTCATGACTTGAGCCCAAGTAACACTACATCTGAGTTTTTGCAAAAAGCTCCTTCCTTTCTTCTGCACCTAGGAACCTGGAAATGAAAAGAATATAATATAAACACAAAAATCTGTGCCTGCATTTGGTAGTGATGTTCTCAGACTTTAGTCTTCTGAGAGAGTTGAGTGATTTAACACAACTGAGTAGGTACAGAGAGAAGTGAGGACAGAGAGGTTGGGGGAATTAAGTAACTGTCAACTGACATGGCTTTGCCACATAATCATAAAACTCATAATATCAACTAGCTATACAAATTGCTATTTCACTCCTACACAGCCTCTGAAGAATTATCTAAACATTTAATTTTTTTCACTCATAACAGTGGTTTGGTTAATATGGTATTATTCCACATTCATTCCACAGGGTTTGGTATTAATGGCATCTTTTCAGGATATGGATAAAACTGGATGCTGCAGAAGTAATAGGAGGATTTTTGCCTAGCTTCATGCTTGAAAATCTATACTAAAATTTGGAAGTTAATAAGAATCTCATGCTCTGCTCACAATCTGCTAGAGATTAGGAGCTATATCTGCCCTTGGAAAAAGCCTCTGCAGGCTTCTACCTACCTTCATTGCAGTGATCAGACTCAAGCCACTAGCTGGTGGATGTGTGATTGATGGCCTAAGGTACATACATTTGAATGTAGATGACACTTTTCAATGGCTTGATACTTTCCAGCTCAGGAATGACAAGTGCCAGAAGAATGTCCTTAGCCTGCTGAGATGGTGGAATGGCTCAATTTTAAGGCTGAAATTCACAATCAGCACTCACAGTGGCTTCATCTAATGTGTTTTGTTTTGCTTGGCCATTGCAATGGGTTCAGAGGGTACATACAGTTGGTGAAAGCAGTTTAGTAAGCCAGGTAGATCTTTTGAAGTCCCTAAAACTCGATGGCCTGTGCTCTTTTTGTACCACCAGCTGAGAGTACTCAAGCCTGGATCTTGCACACCATGTGTTTTCAGGCTGGATCTGTGTTTCTTAGTGAAAAAGAGGGCAACAACTTTTTAGGGCACCAATAGTCTAGCAAAAAATTAATCTGCTGCAGTGGTTTAAAAAGTTATTGCCACCAGCTGCCTTGTATGCAGTACCCTGCACCAGGTCTGCACCCTCACAGTCTGGCTGGCAGACACAAGGACACTTCGGGGCATCAGTTGCCTCAGTGCAAAGTTCAACCTT